GTGTTCAAAGACACTTAGACAAGCTGGTTTGTCAAAGGATTGCTTAAACAGAAATCAAAACACCCCCACCAAATGTCAACAATATGAATCAAGTAAATTAAGTGACATCAGTGAAATGGAATCCAATTAACTATAAGAAACAATGCTTTCAGTCAATATTCACTGATATAAAAAATGATGGTAACAAGTGAGAAGTGGTTACCAAAGGATGTAATTCTTATAATAAACCTGCTGCTACAGACTTTGGCGACCCCAGGTGTATCAAAGTAGAACTGTGCTCGACAAAGTTTTTTCAGCAGTTGACCTTTGACAGGGAGTACATCACCAAGCCTTTCTATCAAGTAACTCTGCTTGACTTGAACCACCAGTCTTTCAGTTAGCAGCCAAAAGTGTTGTTACTGCATTACCCTGGACAACCGTAATGACAATGGTGGTTGTGGTTTGCCGTCAGGTCGGAACCAACGCATAGCTGACCCTCCAGTGGGTTATAGAGGACTTTCTAATTAAGTGCTTACAGTATATCAAGTACTATTATTCTAAGACCTTTGCTTGAATTCAGTAATTTAATCTTCATATCAACCTCTATTAAAAAGGAACTGTCACGTTCCCCTTTTACAGATGTTTAAAGAGGTTTCATGTCATGTCCAAGATTCCACTAGAAAGTGAAAGAGAGCTGAAATGGAATATAGGCAGCTGGACTTTATTTTACAAACAAAATATACAGTAAAGAGGGTGTGTGTGTGTGTGTGTGTGTGTGTGTGTGTGTATAAAATGTCTAAAAGGGTTAAAATGAAAAACAAACAAACAAAAAAAAAGCCAACGGAGGCATTATTGTGTTGATATGTACCGTTGAGTCAGAACTGACCCATAGCTGACTCTCCAGTGGGTTTTCAGAAGCAGTAAGTCACCCAGGAGGAGACTGCCCATCTTCTTTCCAAGGGAGGCGCCTCCTTTGCGTCAGCAGCACACTTCCTATGGACCATGTCATCAGAACTGTCTAGAATAAAAACTGTTGTTGTTGTTAGGTGCCGTCGAGTTGTAGATGACTCATAGCGATCCTATGGATGAAATACCTGAGCACTGTTCGTACATAGACTTTTTCCTTTGGTCCTTTTCTTGATTATTTTAAGAATCAAGAGGAGACATGGAAGTGTTTGCCAGCAAATTTGCATTTCTGCTTGATCCTGTTAAAGTGGACATGTTTCAGTAAGTCATTGCATTTCCTTTAGAAACTTCCAGGTCAATCTCATTGGAGGACATGGTGAACTCTCAGGGTCCTCTACCACCCTCAGTGTCCAGGTTCTCAATCCCCTGGTCTCAAGACTTGCCTTTTCCCTAAATGCCCCCCTTTGGTGATTTCCAGAGCACAAGGCTTTCTCAGCATAGTGAGAACATGTCCATTATAGTGGAGTAACCCACAGTGAACAGTACTTTAAAACAAATCCACAGAGAGAGGGCAATCACTACCCAGGTGCCCAGAGAGTTGCTCTCCATCAATGATTTCATTTGGTAATCACAAGAGCCTATTGACTGGGAATGACGGATCCCAAGCTTTTAAAAACAAAAACTTTTATTTTAAATATTCAT